CCCTGTGGAGCAGAGGAGGTGCTTCCCGCATGGTGGCTCTTCTCCAGCTCTGCTCCAGGGGTGGATGGACAACCCTGGAAGAGGGAAGGCTGTGCTCCAGTCTTTCCCCCCGCTCCTGGCGTCCTGTGTGATCTCAAGCCCAAGTTTTTAAAGGCAAAATCTTGCTGATACTGTCCTGTTGATGTAAAGGATGGGTGGACTCATTACCGATGCTTGTGCTGGTCGTTAGCAGCGTAGCCGCCCCACGCTGAGGCTGTCACCACGCTGGCTCAGCCTTGCTTCACGGGGGCTGCTTTGGGACCCCGGGGCCGTGCCTCATCCTGTCCCGACCCCGCGCCTGGCTGGGTGCTGGGGGGCACGGGGGTCTGGGCAGCCCGTGGCGTCTGGATGGGATCCAGCAGCGGTTCTCTGCGTTTCCCCCCTTCCCATGAAGTTCAGCCCTTCGTTTCCACCCGGCTGGCTCCTGCGCAGAGCAGGAGGGCTGATGGCCTTGAGGGCTTCTACTGCTCGAGCAGGGTCTGCCTGGAGCGGGGTGGGAAGGGCTGCGTGGGGGACATGTGGCCGGCCAGGTGTGAGCCAGGACATGGTCCCACAGCTGGGACGGGAGCATCACTCTGCAGATGGAGTCTTCCTTTGGCGATGCTTTGTGCCCCTGAGCTGAGGGGTCTGACACCTGCATCCGTCAGGTTTTCTTAGACACGGTCCTGGCTTGGGGGGCTTGGGGGTCTCATTCTTGCGTAGCCTGCCTGACCGGGGAGCCCTGCGTGCTGAGGGGGACCTGTGTGACGGGCAGAGCCGAGTGACGGGCACTTGTCTGAGTGCGTCTGCTCTACCGCAGCTGGGAGCGTGGGGGCAGATCCTGCACGATGCTGGGGCTTGATGAAGAAGGGACTCTGCTGCCTCTTCACGCATAAATCGGAACATCCAATCTGATGTTGCATCCGTCTCTCTTTGCCTCCTGACTTCCCTGTCGGTAAAATAGGGATGATGATGTTCAGGTTTTAGGATGCCCCTAAGGCCTCCCAGTTGGCCCCTTCGGTGCATCGGGGTCTCATGTCAGTGTTTTGAAAGCACTTCAGTCTTTGGCCTGGGTGATCTCTAGGATTGTTTTCAAGGATATGAGCTTCTGTGGCTGCCACCTTTGTTTTTGTTGCTGCGTTTATGTGGATTTGATGCTCTCCTGGGATTCTTTTCACGTTCCTGACTTGGATTTCGCTGGCAGCGCTCACCGGGAAGCCTGTGTTTATCTGCTCATCCTTCAGATGCGAGGGGAAAAGGGAGGTGTTGGGAGCCGGGTTGTTGGCTGCCACTGAGTCCTGGGCCCTGCTCTGCTCTGCCGTGCCGCAGTGGGGACCTCCGCTCCCCTCCGGGCACGCGTGGGGCGCGGGTGGGATGGAGGGCAGCTCGGGGGTGGTTTCTACTCTGGGGTTGGATTTCCTGACTCTGGTTCCAGTTTTGTTACTGGGTTCGTAACTGGTCTGAAGAGGCAGAGCCTGGCCCTCAGTCCCCACCTGCTTGAAATGGGATTATGAACCCGCAGGTGGAGGAGCAGGAGTGGGGTTACAAGCCCCGGGCAGTGTCTGGAAGCCTTTCTTGAGACGCTCAGGTGGATGGTAACTAAATTCTGAACTCCTTTTCATGTTTTTCAGCTCTGAAAAGATCTTTTGAGGTCGAGGAGGTAGATCAGTCTTCAAATTCCTCCACCCCACAAAGGCGGACCCCGAACCCCCTCCTCAGGTCCACCGTGTCCAGCTCCACACAGAAGTTTCAGGAACTTGGCGCCAGGAATTCAGAGCCATCCGCTCGACATGCGGACCCCACAGGCCAGAGATCACCCAAGCCCTCTCTAAGGAGAGTGGAGCTCTCTGGACCCAAACTGCCCGAGCCGGTGTCCAGAAGAACAGAAATCTCCATTGACATCTCATCCAAGCAGGTGGAGAACTCCACCTCAGGGTTGTCAAGGTTTGGCCTCAAAAGAGCAGATGTCCTGGGGCACAAACCCCCGGAGCCCACCCCAAGGAGGACTGAGATCACCCTCGGCAAGCCCCAGGAGCCGGGTCTCCGGAGGGTGGAGGCGCCGGCATCAAAGATCCCCGAGATGCCCCAGCGGAGAGCCGAGATGGCCAACGCTCCCGTGCCCGACACGGCCACCAAGCGCGTGGAAATTCAGGTAGCGAAGGCTGCCGAGGTCCCAGCCCCACCGGCGCGGCAAGTGGAGGGCTCGGAGCCTCCCCTGGCCACCCAGCCTCCCCAGGCAGAGCCAAAGCCGCAGCCGGTGCTGATGGAGAGCCCACCGAAGAGAGAAGAAGGTGAGTACAGCTCCGGGCAGCTGCTTGGGTGAGACGCCGGCTGATACCTGCCTTCGTCCCTTGCTGCGGGCTCAGAGCCCGCCCGGGGAGGCCGAGTGCTGTGTGCTGCTCCTTCGGCTCCGGTGGTGATGCCTTCGAGGCTGGTCTTGGATCTGTGCTCAGATGTGTCCACATACTTGGCTGTTATCCTTGGGTTTATCCTGGCTGAAAGAGCCAGGATAGATAGATAGATAGATATTTATCTATCAATAAATAGATTGATATCTAAATATAAAAATGCTGTCAGGCCTATAAGGAACTAAAAAAGAAAATGCCAAAAGCCTGGGTGCTTGCAGAAAACGACAATTCTGCCAGCTCAGGCCCCGTGTGTGGACCCGCCCGCCTGTGCAGCATCTAGAAAAGCCTCTGAGGTGCTGGAGAGGCGGTGGTTGTGGAAGCGTTGTTGTGATGGCTCATTGTTTAGTGTTGTTGCTTATGGTTGTGGGGCAGAAACCGCCTCTTCATTAGCAGGAGTCAGGGTTTTTTTGGCCTTGGAGCCAAAGTCTAATAACATCATGGACCACAGCCACTATTAAACTGGAGCCCTGGCTTATATTAGCTCTATCTTGTTTTCGATTAATCCCATATTAAAGCCAGCTTCCCTCCCCCGCCAGCCGTCATTTTTTCTCCCTAATGTTTTGGAGATTTTATCTTTTTTTCCTCTTCTGGCCTGTCAATTATTTTTCCGTTCCCCATCACCCACGAGCTCTCTCCTGCGAGGGATGCAGCGGTCGGTCGGAGGGCACCACCTCCCCACCCCACCCGGGTGTTGTGGGATGGCGTCCCTGCCTGGCCCCGGAGCTGGACCACGCGCCCTTGTCTCGCCCTGCCATGGGATGGTCCCCTGCTCCTGCTCCATCTCCTCTCCCTGGTCACAGGGCAGTAACGGGGTCTGCGGAGAGGCCAGGTTTCGGTGTGTGTGCGTGGTCTAAAATCAAATCTGGAGTCAGTGGCGGAGCTGATATCGAACCTGTAAGACTTGAGTGGGTTTCTCTCACTGTGCATGTGTATGGCTTAGGTGTGGCTTTTCTGAGCTGGGTTTTTCTGGGAGCAGGTTAGTCCAACTCCAGCTGGGCATGGCTGAGCTCTAAGACCCAGCCCAGTGATGGGGTTCAGTCTGGGTCTCCCTTATGGGGTCTCTGTCCCCAGACGCCATGTGCGTGGTACCCATCTTCTCCCGTGGGTGGGTGGGTGCTTGGCCTCACCCTGCTGCTTTGGGCTGCTCTGAGCTTCTTCCCCAGCTCTGAACTGCGGGTGGTTGGGCGCTTTAAGAGCAGAAGACCATCTGAGCTGCTGAATCCCCCAGCTGCCTGGGGGGGAGAGGGAGGGCCCTTTGCATCAAAAAGGCCTCCAGAAGCCCAGGACAGCTGCTGGGGATGAGTTTTACCCAAGAGCCCAGCTGTCTGGGGTCTGCCTTGCAGAGCGAGCCAGCCCTTGGTGCTGGTACAAAAGGGGCTTTCAGTCTAAATGCCTCCAAGAAGAGCCAGGAGACAAAGTAGAAAGGGTACGGAGGGCTCCGGCTCCTTCTTCCTCCATGTCAGCACGGATGTACAGCCCAGAGTTGCTGCCAGAGCCCGTGTCCCCTTCCTGGTCATCTCCAACCTCCTCTGTCACCGTGACTCAAGGTTGCCCCGGGCTGCTCTCGCGCAGGATCCCGTTTCAGGGCGCTCCTCCCCGTGGTCCACGGCACCCACCCTGGGATGCTGGGCGGGTGGATGGCATCTCTCCTTGTTGCCAGTGTAAGCACATGGAGGAGTGTTGGGGAGGTTGCGCAGGGACCCTCAGGGAGCCCTGTCGATGGGTGCCGGCATGTTGCCAACACTCGCCAGCTCCACTGCAGCTCTGGCCCCACCACAACCCCCCAAGTGAAAACGTTGGCTCCCTGATGCCTGCAGCAGAGGCAACACGCAGCGTGAAGTCCTGCTCCCTCTCGCTGCTCCCGGGGTTTGGGGCACCCAAGAGATGCTCCGGTGGCACTGGATGCCCCTCAATCCCGTTGCTCGGTGGCTTTCCAGAGCGAACAGCTGAGCAGGGGATGCAGGCAGCTGCCTCCAGCTGCCCTCAGCCCTGTGCTGGGACTCGCCTTCCCCCAGCTGCCGGGACTCAGCTGCCTTGCCCTTAACCCCTTGTCCCGCTGCCGAAGGTATGCAGGAGAGCGTGTTGTGCAGGAAGAGGCCGGTCGGAGGAGAAGGGCAATCGCCGAGAGCTCGGCAGTTCAGAGCAAACCACAAAGAAAAGGAGTAATTATAGCGCTGAGCTTCGTTAGGACGGCGTGGCTGGTGGCGTGGGCTGAGCCCGCTCCGGAGCCGTGGTTCTGAAGGTAGGAAGAGGGCAGGAGGTGTCTTCGTGGGGCAGAAGAGCAAGAAATACTCCTTCCCATCCCTGTTCTCCCTCTCCGAGTCCTTCTCACGCTCTCCTGCGCTCCCTGGGGAGCATTGGCTGCGCTTCTGCGGGTTTAACGTTGAGTTGGGCTATTGGTGGTAGGGAGATGGGACACGGGTGCACATCACGGGTGCAATGTACCACTGCGCCAGCATCCTGGGCAAAGCTGGACTTGGTGTCCCCAGGGTGGCTGGTGCTCCCCAGCTGGGACAAAGAAATGTGATGGGATGACCAGTCGATGTGGATTGCTGTGGTCAGAGTTGTCCAGAGAAACCTGAGCCGGGTTGTGCAGTGGGTGTAGGCGAGGGGAGAATATGCAAAGGGCAGAAAGAGGAACAAGCAATTAAAAATAAACATAAAAAAAAAGGTGAAGGAAAGTGCTGTTTCTGAACTTGCAGTCTCGGAGACTGCGTGAGTCTTGTCTTCACTGCGTAGGACTTACCAAATCTTGATATCCAAATATGACCGCCCGTGGGTGGT